CGTGCAGATCAAGTTAAGTCTGAGTTATTTAAGATTTTTTTTAATTATACTTTTTTTTTTTTAAAAAATAATAGTTGTTGATATTATGCAGATGATTAAAGGATGATACAAAGAATGGGTTGTAAATTAGGAAACAATAATCGATTCAATTTAATATATAGATACATAAACAAAAACATGCATATTATGTACATATATCTATATTTATATAACCTTAGGTAGGATAAAAGGGTTCAAGTAAATTTAACCCTATTGATATAAAAAGATTTAATAATAACATTCAAGAAACAATCACATGGTAACCAAGAAGTTGGAAAGCATGGGCATTAGAAAAGATTTTTTATAATGACCAGCCTATGTGAAAAAGGTTCTTTTACTAAAAAAATTTCTATGGATTATTATTAATTGAATATATTTATTATTAACAATCTCTGATTGAATTAGTTTTGGAAATTTACATTTTCCAGGTGGATTGATTTCTAATTGATGATTATAATTATAAATTTTATCTATTGGACATTTTAAATTTTCAAAGTTAAATTTGTTATGATATTTATTGTAATATGAAAATTAAATTTACAAATATAATATTTGTATATGTATTTATTAAACTATTATCCAGGTGGTAACATTGTTGCATCCACACCAGTATCATTATCCTCTTCTGTAATTGTTTCAATGACATTATCATAAAGTGGAGTACGTGGTAATGCCATCATTCCTTTATTTTTTTAAAAAAATGTTATTATTATTATTATTATTGTTATTATTATTAAGATTACATGTTAACAACAACTTACCACTTCTTGCTGCTTCTAAAATACCAAAAGGCTTTATTAATTTGATGAATGCGTCTAATCTAATAGGTTTGGCGGTCAACTCTATTATAACGCTGTCATTTGACACATCAACAATTTTCGCTCCAAATAATTTACTTAAATCAGTTAACGAACGTAAATGCTCGTGTTTATGTTGTAATTCAGATGATGGTGAACGTTGTTTTTCATCAATGGAAGTTGCATTTAAAACAGATGTAACATCTGGATGCTACATATTTAAAAATGTGAGAATGCTAGTTCATTTATTTAAAAAATTTAAACAATAATCAAGAAATTCTTTTGCACCTCTATCTCTAAATCAGCTTCAGGCATAAACTCATCATCATACTCTATGTGCTTAAGTGAAGCCAATTGTTCATAAAAATGTTCAGGTCCTAAAATAGACACTTTAACCAATAACATTTCACGTTCCACAATAGTTGTTTCAGTATAATCAAGAACAGCCCATACCGGCACCTATTTTTTTTTTTTAAAAAAAAAAAAGAAAGATCAACACAAATTTGGAAAAGGATTTTTGTAACAAAATTTAAAATTACCAAATCTTGTAGTTGTCTTCTAGCTTGTTCCACGACAACATCTTGACCACTCAAAACAATTGTCATTCTACTTAGATCAGGTACTTCAGTATTAGCCACAACCAACGAATCAATATTAAAACCTCTCCCAGCCAAAATACCACTGACTCTACTTAAAACACCAGGTTCGTCTTGTACCAAGCAATTCAAGACGTGTCGTTTTGAAGGTGATGGTGGATTTGGTGTATTGTAAAGAATATTAGTAACAGCTTCTTCGGCTAATGATGTATCTATTTTCGGTAGTGGCGGTATACGTTTTCGAGGATGCGAAAGTTTATATTCAATGGCTGATGTTGATGAATTGGCGTTTGTGTTGGTAGCCGCTTTTGTGTTAATGAATCTATGTTGATTAAATAATGATGCTGATGATGATGCTGACGATGATGCCGACGATGATGATGATGATGATGGTATTGGAATTATTGGAATTTGATTTATAAATATGATGTTTAATTTTTTATTATGCGTGAACAAAGAACGAGAAGAAAGTTGTTGCTACCAAAATATCAAATTTTTGATAATCAATTTTTTTAAAAAAAAATTTTTTTTAATAAATAATTGAAACATTCAAGAAATTACTTTATGTAAAAAAATTTTTTTTTCTAACTTACCATAACAACATTTTTATTTCTCAATGTGTGCGATATCCTTTGAGTGATATTTGAATACATACTATCGATCAATCAATAATCATTTAATTTATAAAGGAAAAAAGAAAAAAATTTTTTCTTGTAATTTGTAATTTATAAATTTTGAAACTTTTATGGAATGTGTAACGTCGATCACGACGAACCGCTTTTATTTGACGCATTTATGTTTAAAATTCTATTTGATGGATTATAGAGAAATGGGTCAGTTATGTAAACCGTAATAGTTTTCATATATCCATCACTATATATTATATAATTTAATAAAACATTACATTCGAATAATTAATATAAATGAAGCATTATTAAATAAATGTAAGATGTCAATCTCCCGATTGATAAAAATTCTATATTTTACATCCATCTGTAAAGCCTTTCTTAAAATAGTATATAGTATAAACAAATAGTTATATAAAAAATTCTTTGTCTCAAATAAACCTTCATGAATATTCAAATTAATTGGATTAAATTTTTTAATAATAGAAATAAAATTGCTTTATACAAACTTTTTGTGAAGTTATAATGCTAAAAAAACATTAAATACTTGTGCTTTCTAATAAGTTTTATTATTATTATTATGGACAGTGTGTGACAACTGGTTGATGTCATAAGACACTGATTTTATTTGCAATTTATTATTTTCCTACCATTATTATTATCCGCCATGATTCGCCATGATTGGAAGGTAATGTTCGCACAGAATATTCCAAAATCAGCTAAAAAGAAGGAAAAAGTATAATTTGCGTAAAGTTATGGGCATCAAAACAAAAATATTTAGATGAATATTGCTAGGTTGGTATCATTTCAATATGATGATCCATTTAGGAACACACAAGGTTCACTTCACTTTTTCTGGTTTTGTTGCAAATATAATGTCAATGCACTTGGGAAACTTACTTACTCGCAACCCAATCAATATTTCCTTCCAATTGGATAAAACTTTGCGAGAGAAAACAAAACTATTTGAGAGAGCAATGGTAAAAATTGTTTAAAAACCCTATAAAACCTTGACTTCCTTATATTTATTTACTATTTTTGAATAATAAGTGTGTCAGCAAAAAAACTAAAAAAACCTGAATCCATGCATTTATGTTTATATGCGTAAAATTATGAAATTTCAACGAATCAAATCAATATTATTTTTAATAACCCTCTCAACTCTAAAGTCCATGTCAAAAATTATAATTTTGTTTATATAAAATCGCGCATTATAATTTTCTTTAATTGCACCAAGAAAACCTAAAACCTTAATATTAACGCTTAAAATTATATGGATTTTCCGTGCATGTACTTGTGTAATTATTATTATTATTATCCATTCATAATATACGACTCAAAAACAACAACAATAATAATTTAAATTTGTGTGCTAAATGTGAGATACTATAGACATAAATCGGAAATGATCGATCGAATATTTTTTTTTATTATCAAAATTTTTAATTAAATAAAAAATGTTATTAAATTTTTTTTAGTAAAATATGTTATTCTTAAAATGATTTATATGCTCACTAAAAATAATTTAGCCAATTTAAGCTTATCAATATTACAAATATGATGAAACTTAAACAGTAACTGTTTGCCATAATAATCCTAAATAAATGGCTTATTCGGATCATTTATTTATACATATATTAATATATATTTGGAAAAATAATTAAATTTTTTAAATTTTTTTAATTTTGTTGGATATATGTATCACGACAAACTAGGAGGAAAAAAAAAATAACCCAATCACCTTTTCTTTTTTTTGTAAAATACATATATTTTAAATTTTAAAGATATCCTTTACTTTAAAATCTTTAGAATTTAATCAACTTTCATTAAGAAAAAAATTATTTATTAAAATCATTTATATTTTATTTCAAAATAACCTGGATTAGAAGGTAAGTGAATACAACTTTATTATATTATTTAAATATAATAATTATCAATATTTCAAAATATCACACAATATATATTACACAATTATTAATTTCAATTTTGCAATATTGATTAATAAATTTGAATTTTAGATTGAAATTTGGATTGAGTCAGTTAATTTTTTTAATTGTTAATTTAAAAATGTTAATACTTTTTTATATAAATCATAAAT